TCCCCTGCACGGGTCGGTGGAGCCACAGGCAAGTCTCAGGGGGGTTGTGTTTTTGAGGTTGAGTTATATGAGCTGTTTCCACATGTTAATAACAACCCCTTATCTTCATATTATTTGCAAATATTTTCTCCCGTCCAGTAGGTTGTCTTTTTGGCTTGCTGATGGCTTCTTTTGCTGTGGAAAAGATTTTAAGTTTACTTAGCTACCCCAGTTTAACATTTTATGTGGAAACTGTTCTAAAGCAGAAGATATGCTTCTTTCCATTCTTTTTTTTTAAATTGTGATAAAATACACATAACATCAGATTTAGCATTTTAACCATTTGTAAATGTACAATTCAGTCCATTCACATTGCTGTTCAACCATCCCCACCATCTGTCTCTGGAACTTTTTCGTTTCTCCAAAACTCTGTCCCCAGTAAACACTAACCCACCTCTCTCCCCTACCCCTGGTACCCACCATTCTACTTTCCATTGCTATAAATTTGAGGGACCTCATGTAGATGGAAGCATATAGTGTGTTTGTCTTTAGTAGGTGGCTTATTTCACCAAGCATATGTTCTCAAAGTTCATCCTTGTAGCGTGCATCAAAATTCCCTTCCTTTTAGAAGCCACATTTTCTTTATTCATTCATCTGATGAACACGTGGGTTGTTTCCACCTTTGGTGATGGTGAATAATACTGCTATGAACACGGGCTTACAAATAACTAAGTCCTGCTTTCAGTTCTTTTGGGTGTATGTTCATAAGTAGAATTACTGCATCATGTGGTAACTCTTTGCTTAATTTTTTGAGGAATCACCATACTGTTTTCCGTATTGGCTCAGCCATTTGACATTCCCGTACTTTCTTTCATTCTTAGACAGAGCGTCCTGGGTAGGATCTGGTCAGCACCCTGGAGTCCTGGTCATGCATCTTCTTGAAAAGGCTGAGTAATCAGGGACTCTCTCCCCCAGACTCAGCTCAAGCATCTCTTTTCTGTCGGGTGTGTCCTATTCCATTGCTCTCTGCTCATCTCGGATCTCCATCATAACTGTCTGTCTGTAAGTCTGTCTTCCCAGCTTGGGGCCAGGCTAGTTGGAGTCTCTTCATGAGGCTCCCCAGCTGCTGCGTTGTAGGACTCCCAAGGATTTTTTTTTAACCAGGAAGGCCCCTATCTCTCTTGTTGTCATTTACAAGTTAAAGAACTTTAAAATTAGAAGGGGAACTTCCCTGGTGATCCAGGGATTAAGAATCCACCTGCCAATGCAGAGGACACGGGGTTGATCCCTGGTCTGGGAAGTTCCCACAGGCCCAGTGACAACTAAGCTGTGTTCCCAACCACTGAAACCCGGGCACCCTAGAGCCCGTGCTCAAGACAAGTCACGGCGATGAGACGCCTGCGCACCGCAGCAGGGAAAAGCCCCTGCGGCCACGAAGACCCCGCACAGCCAAAACAAAAATAAATAAGTAAATCTAAAAAAATTAGAAGGAATCTTAGAAATAAACTTTAACACACTCCCCCCCTTCTGTTGCTCCCCTTCGGGGAACTGAGGCCGGAGCAGCTAAGCGGCCTGCCAGGGCACCACTTGGCGAGCTTCGGGCTGGCACCTTCGCCGTCCCTCCCAAGCCTGCCCTCTGTGGTCGCTGTCACCAGCTGGGTTGAGTGGCTTCTCTCCGTAAGAAGCCCATGGACAGAGGAGCCTGGCGGGCTACGGTCCATGGGGTCGCAAAGAGTCGGACACGACAGAAGTGACTTGGCACGCCCTCTTCCCTTACAATGCGCTGCGAGAACGGACCCCTGTTTCTCCTCCAGCCCTGCTCCCCCAGCGTCCCCTTTGCCCCTGGGACCTTGCACGCCCGCTTCTTGGAAGGGTCGTCCACCAGCTTCTTGCTTGCCTCATGAGGCACCTCGGGAGAGCTTCTCAGGGCCGACCCCTAGGCCAGACCCCTGCCGCGGAAGGGAGACAGCTGGTTTGGTCAGCGTCACTGTGCAGTGAGGGGCTGGACACACGGCCCCAGAGGCTTGTCAGCATCTGATCTGCCACCCGATTCCCGTTTAGGGGACACACACTGGGCCAGACCTGCGCCTGCCCTGGTGGGGAGACAGACTTACAGACAGACAGTTATGATGGAGACCAGAGATGAGCAGAGGGCTGTGGAATAGGAAACTCTCGACGGAAAGGAGATGCCCGAGCTGAGTCTGGGGGTGCAGGCAGGAGCCACCCAGGGGAGAGAGTTCCTTTTCCAGTGATCCGTCTTGCTCTAGGTCTTAACACCCATGAGAATGATGAAATGCCTGGCTCCTAGCTCTTCTAGCTCAGCCCACAGCCTCCACGACTCGGAGGACCAGTTAGCTGCTCGCTGGTACCTGGGATTCTGCGAAGATGCTCAGCAGTATCTCTCAGGGTGGATCTTGACGTTTGGCCATATTCATGGTATGAGTTGTGATGGTGGGGGGTAGTGCCTGTTTCATGTTGTTCACAAGAAAGAAGAGATCACTACCACCACTCGCATTCAAATGCCTCCCCTTCTGCCATGACGCAGATCTCTGAGAACAGCGAGTGGGAGAAAGTGGAGCTGCAGAAAGAGCAGGATTGGCCTGGAGAATGGTGACCCACAGCACAGTCCTAAGCATGTCAAGAGGCCCTGCGGGTTTAGGGAGAACAAGGCCCCTTCACATCGCTTGGGGTGGTTGCCAGCACCGGGCAGAGCCGCGGATGGGGCTGAGCGCTCATTGAAAGATTCTCTTCTTAAAGACTGTGTGTGTGCGTTCCATTGTGTCCAACTCTCTGTGACCCCATGGACTGTATCCCCCCAGTCTCCTCTGTCCATGGGATTCTCCAGCAAGAATACTGGAGTGGGTTGACATTCCTCCAGGGGATCTTCCCGACCCAGGGATCGAACTTAAGTCTCTTGCCTCTCTTGCTTTGGCCGGCAGGTTCTTTACCACTAGCGCCACCTGGACTGTGCTTTGCTTAAAGGCATAAACAAGGACTTAGAATTTACCGAGCAGGAGAATCTTGGTTCCAAAACAAGAAGTGAACGTTCTAGTATTAGAACACATGCATCGTGTGTGTGTATGTGCGTGTGTGTGTGTGTGTGTGTGTATAAAGTCACTAAAGAGCTTGGGGCAGGGTAGATGGACATTTTCTTTGGATCAAATAATGAAGGATCACTGATGGTTCTTCAGCGAGACTATTATTCATGGCTCGTTGTGAATAAATGTTTACAATTTTCTTTTCAGAGTTTGGATCCAGTCATTCTGAGAAAATCCTTTTGTCATCACACAAAGCCTGGGATCAAAGACTCCGTCCGCGGATTATTTTCTGCATATGGCTGGACCGGATTATGGTGCCAGAGGGGGTGAGCCAAGTAAGCAACACTTTCTCCAGGATGCGGCTCCGATGAGGGGGGTGGGTGCTGAGGCTGCTGCGTGTTGGTGCACGGGGCCTGGACCACTGGTTTTGCTCTGATCTGTGGTGTTTAGCAGAGAGAGCAGATGGCTTTTCAAATCCATCTCCTGCTCCCATTCTCACCACTAAGCTTCAAATAGTCTTAATCCCTATAATTGGATTAAGGCAACCTGGGATTTCTAGAGGCCCTAGGTGCCTACCAGAAGCAAAAGTAAATCCTCTGTGGAGGAATACATCATTTTAGCCCTCAAATTATTTCTATAATTTTTCATACAGAACGATTGAGTCTGACACTCAATCAAAAATAACACAACATCAAGGAAAGATGACCATGTGATCAAATCCCAAGAGAAACAATAAGCAATAGAAACAGATTCACAAAGATTCCAGGTAATGGAAAGAACAGACAGAAAGTTTAAAAATAACCATGTTTTGAATGTGTTTGGAGACTTAAGAGAAATGAATGTTAGATCACTAGAAACTGTAAGAAAGAATAAAACTGAAATTCTGGTTCTGACAACAATCCAAATTCCCTGTGTATATATCAACTGAGATTAAAAATGAAAGGGTTTAACAGCAGGATGGACATTGCCAAAAAGAGATTTGGTGAACTGAAAAATAGGTCATACCCAGAGTAAAGGATGGAGAGTCAAAAGAATGGGATATACATAACAAAAAGAAATTCTACTGCAGGAAGAAAAGCACATCCAGAAATATAAGAAAAATGCAGAACACCGAGGATTTCTCAAAGAGAAGTACCAGCAACTGACTTCTCTACAGGCACAGTGGGAACCAGGAGACCACAGGATTGATATCTAAGGTGCTACAAGACAATAAGTGTCAGTCTAAACCAATATCTTTGAATATAACCTTCAAGAATGATGGTAAAATAAAGATGTTTTCAAACATACAGAAACTGAGATAATTTGTCAGCAGAAAATATTAATGAAAAGGTGAGACTTGAAAAAGAACAATGATGCTGATGAACCCGTGGTGACACTGAAAAGGAAAAAAGGCACGAATCCCCAGTGTCGGGAATGAAAACGGGGATCGTAGAGGATATGATGAACAAAATGCCAATAAATGTGAACATTTAGAAGAAAAATTCCTAGAAATATACAGTTTATCAAAACTGACAGAGGAAGAAATAGAAAATATGAATAATCCTTTAAACAATTTGCAATTCAAGTCCTCTAGGTAAAGAAAATATTATGCTCAGAAAGCTTTCATAACCAAATATAAAAGAAGAAATAAAGTCAATATTTCACTGATATCTTTCTGAGGGTTGTCACACCCAGTCTGAACGATTCAGTAGTGATTAGAATTAAGTTCATGTTTCTGAGTTTGGTGTACAAAGCTTAAGATTTGACTTCTGTTAACTTTTCTTTTTAAGTGCTTTTTTTTACTTTAAAAAATTTTTTTAATTTACTTTTAAAAAATTTTTTTAAACTTTTTTACTTTTTTACAAAGTGCTTCTTGTTTTATTTACTTTAAAATATTTATTCACTTATTTTTAGTATTTATTCATCTGACTGTGTCATGTGGGATCTTTCATTGCAGTGCACAGACCTTCTAGTTGTCGTGTGTAGGCTCAGTTGCGCTGCAGCATGTGGGATCTTCCCGGACCCAGGATCAAACTTGTGACCCTGCATTGGCAGATAGATTCTTTACCACTGAGCCACCATGGAAGTCCCTGGACTTTAGCCTTAATGTGCCGGGGTAGGTTATGTTCTGTAAGTAAACTTCAGGCAAAACAGGTAAGAAAGATTTGTACAGCTGGGCTGAACCCTCCGCACCTGCGGACAGGTGGCATGAGCCGTGTGGGCCATCTGAAATCGTCTGGGAGGCACATCACAGAAAGGAACACTCAGGTTAAAATAATGCGAATGTTTATCTTATTTAACCCAGCACTTCCAAAATATTATCCAGGCAACATGTAATCCACACAGAAGTGATGAAGGAGATACTTTACATGCTTTCTGTCATGCTTGCTGAGTCCTGCAATGTGGCAGTGGTTGGCGACAAAGGCGTCACGGACCCAGCTGTTACTAGGTGGGAAGAGAGAACACAGAAGTGAAAGGCCACGCACTGACGGGGGAGTCCAGCCCCAGGCCAAACACCGGCATCACCTGCCCCAGGGAGCCAGCATCACGAGCCTTGTGGGCGACTCGGAGGCGTGGCTGCGCGAGCGGGCAGTGCTGCAGGCCCCCCTTGGACCTGGGGACCGAAGTCCCTGAATTCTTGTCTTGTTTACTCAACCAGTACTTGCTGAGCACTACTGATGCAAAACACTCCGTGCACCAGACTCGCGTGTCAGCGGTCCTCCCTGGTTAGATGCTGAGTCTCTAGTTTTGTCTCTTCCACGCTCCTGTCGGTGCTGTGATGGTCCTGTGTGTAGCTTCCTTCCTGTATTTTTTTAAACTGAAGTATAGTTGACTTATAGTGTTGTGCTAATTACTGTTGTACAGTAAAGTGACTCAGTTATATATATATATATATATGCACACAGTTTTTTATATTCTTTTACATTATGGTTTATCACAGAATAATAAATATAGTGCCTTGTGCTATACAGAAGGATCTTGCTGTCTACTCATCCTCCGCGTGATAGTTTAGACCTGCTGATCCCAAACTCCCCGTCCGTTTCTCTACTCTCCCCCTCCCCCTCAGCAACCACTAGCCTGTGCTCTGTCTGTGCGTCTGCTTTTCGGTTTCATCGACATGTTCATTTGTGTGTATTTCAGATTCCACATGTATATGGTATCATGTATTTGTCTTCCTCTTTCTGACTTCCCTTAATACGGTCATCTCTAGGCCCACCCATGTTATTGCAAATAGCATCATGCCATTCTTTTTTATGGCTGAGTAGTATTCTACTTGAGGATCAAAATGAGTAAATATATCTAAAGTGCCAGAACTACCTGGTACATAGTAAGTGCTTTAAAATTCCAATTAATACGTCTCAGTCAAATTAACAGCATCTCCTTAGAGACAGACTCTGCTCTAGGTGGGGAGGGGGTGCACGCATCAGGGAGCCAACCACCTCCCGGGGCCTGAGGGTCTCTGTGGGAACCGGCTTGAGCCAGCTGGTCTTGGCTGCTCCTCCTCACTGTCCTCCCGGAGGTGGACACTTTCCGGGGCCCTCCGCTTCCCGAACTGCTCCACAGCTGCCCAGGTGCCCTGGCCGGAAGGCTCCCAACACCTCTCCCTTACCTGCTCCCTGGCCGGTCTGCCCCCAGCTCTGTGACAATATGGTGTCCTTCACCTCTCCCCATCCTTCCCTCTCACTGTTAGTGTCTTAGTATAAGGACCTCAGCATCTGTAAGGATCCTGTTAAAGGTCTGTCTAGTCAAAGCTATGATTTTTCCAGTAGTCATGTGTGGATGTGAGAACTGGACCATAAAGAAGGCTGAATGCCACAGAATTGATGCGCTCAAACTGTGGTGCTGGAGAAGACTCCTGAGAGTCCTTTGGACTGCAAGGAGGTCAAGCCAGTCATTCCTAAAGGAGATCAACCCTGAATATTCATTGGAAGGACTGAGGCTGAAGCTGAAGCTCCAAAACTTTGGCCCCCCTGATTTGAAGAGCTAACTCATTGAAAAAGACCCTGATCCTGGGAAAGATTGAAGGTTGGAGGAGAACGGGGCAGAGGAAGAGATAGTTAGATAGCATCACCAACTTAATGGACATGAATTTGAGCAAACTCAGGGAGATGGTGAAGGACAGAAGAGCCTAGCGTGCTGCAGCCCATGGGGTTGCGAAGAGTCAGACACAACTTAGTGACTGAACAACAAAAAATCTGTAAGGACCCCACTGTATGTAAGGTCTCCATCATCTGCAAGGACCCTGTTATCTGTAAGAACCCCATCAAGCCTTGCCTAGACTAGTTCAGCAGCCTCCCAGCTGTTCTGATCACCCCCAACCCTCTGCCAATCCTTGTTCTGGAAGAAACTTTCTTAACCGCAAATTCTCTTTGTCTGCAGGAGAAACAACGGCCCCACTCTCGTCTGCAAGGTGCAGGCAGCCCGCCACGTGGCTCCTCTGCCCATCCTGCCCTGGCCGTGGCCGTGCCCGCTTGCCCTTGGGGAGGGAGGACCAAGGCACTAAGGTGTTCTCAGGGGGGCTGAGTGCCTCGGTCAGCTCTGCGCATCACAAGACCCTCAAACTCGGGGGCTCAAATCAGCTGCTCCTTTGTCCTATGGTTCAGCAGGGTGGTTCCATTCTTGGGGTCTTTTCATGCATTGGCAGAAAGCCCCGGGAGCATGCAGTTTTGCTGGCTCTGTCTGTCTCTCCCCCACCCCTTGGGCCTAGACTGGACCCCTGGGCCGACTCCCCCCGCTCTCCACATGCTTAGCCTGGGCAGGCTGGCCCGGGCTTCCTCCTGGGAGTAACACTCCCTCCCTGTCTGATTCTTTGCAAAGTGCTTATTGAAAATTTTAGAGGCAGATACCATGGGGGCCTGTGAGTCAATTCTTAGAACAGGATGTGATCATCTCTTCCGGGAAGAAGTGTTTGCAGCCACTGCTGATTCCTGACTGAGTCACAAGCGCCTTTATCAGGAGGCGGGAGAGCACAGCTTAGGTGCCAGTGAGCTGGGTGTGTGCATCTGCTTATTAACCTTCACCATCCACAGCCCCGTGCTCACTGCACCCTTTGGATGAGCCAGTGGGCTGGGAAGGAAGCTTGGAGCCAACGTGACTAATAATTTCTAAATTCTCTAGGTGGCAGTTATAGGGAGTAAAGAGAAAGGCGTAATTTCAAAAGTTTCTAACAGCATTGCTCTGGGTATCTCTGGTTATCTTCTTAACTCATTTTAAGAGCTCTAACTATGTGCCAGGCAGGGCTGGGTTCTTTAGAAACATGATTTTATTTACTTCTGCACAGCCTTGTGAGATGGACATGACTATTCACTCTGGGGCTCAGAGAGGTCACGCAATTTGTCCAAAATCACACAGCTAGAATCAGTTAAGCCTAGATGGGAGCTCATGTCCAACTCCAAAGCCAGGTCCTTCGACCTCCATACATTCCGTAACTGAATGCCCTTTGTCTCCCACCCAGAGCTGGGAAGAATCCGTCTATTTTCTGAGAATAGAGAATGTCAGTTCACAGGACTGGGTGCTTGCCATGGGATCTGTCTGGCTATAGGCACTGGAGAGAAGGCTCTCAGAACAGGCGGTGCCCTCCAGAAGCCGATATTAGACTTGGGGAAAGGAGATACATACTTGGACAAAGAAGATACCTGCAGATGCTGCTCCGTGCCTAAAGAAAAGGGAAGTAAGTCTTGGCACAGAGGATTCCTGGGTGGGTCAGCGGCCTGGGGAAAGGCCTCTGGAGGATGGATGTGTGAGCGGGGGTCTGAGTAACGACCTGGAGACAACCAGGCGGCGGGAGGACAGTGTTGCCAGCAGGAGAAATTGTGCAAAGCGGTCCCTCCGCGTCCACTCCCCTTCCTCTCCATCCTGTTTGCCCGTTCCTCTGGCCCAGGCCTGCACTGTCCCTGTGTTTCCCATCACTGCACACACACCATTGCCCATCCTGGGGCCCAAACCAGTGGACACTCCTGGACTCCTCCTTGCCTCTCATCCCTGAAGCAGAATCCACTGTGTCCTGTGGGTTCTGGCTCCGCCTGGTTCCTGACTCCCCGCGTCCTCCTCTCCCCATCTCCCTGCTGGCATCTTTGTCCAAACCACCGCCACCTCTTGCCCGGGCCTGCCAGCCTGGGTCCTGGGCTCGGGCTGTGCCCTCCCAAGGTCCTCTTCGAAGCATGAACGTGGTCCTATCACCCCTGCTGGACAGCCTCCCGTTCTTTTCTGTAACTTAGGAGAAGGTCCAAGTCCTACCTGTGCCCGTGAAGCCTCAGTCCCTGCTCGTGGCTACCTCGCCACGCTCACCCCACCCTGCTGTTGTCCTCATCAACAAGCTTTCATGTCTCTGTGGTCCGACTGTGCCTCAAACAGTCCCCGCTCCCCCCTCCCTCTGGCCTTGGAGCTGGCTGAACCCCCACCCCTCCCGCGTGCCCTTCCTCCAGGCCTTCCCTCTGGTCCTCAGCTTTTGTCTTGAAAGCTGCTCCCCAGGGAGCCTTCCTTGCTCCCAAGCGAAACTCCCCCTGGAATGCAAGCGTGGGCTCTCTCTCTCTCCTGATGTTGGTTGGTTTGTTATCGGGACCCCCAGCTCCCCATTAAACCCTAGGCCCCACGAGAGCGGGACCCCAGCCCGCATAATTCTCTAACACATCCTGGCATTTATGTGTTGGTGGCTTAGTCATGTCCGCCTGGCTCCTCTGTCCATGGGATTCTCCAGGCAAGAATACTGGAGTGGGTTGCCACTTCCTCCTCCAGGGGATCTTCCTGACCCAGGGACTGAACCCATGTCTCTTATCTCTCCTGCATTGGTAGGTGGGTTCTTTACCACTAGCACCACCTGGGCAGCGCTTTGTCTGTATATCACTCAGCCACAAAAACAGGATGAAATCTTGTCATTTGTGACAGTATGGGTGGACCCAGAGGGTGTGATGGTGAGTGCGGTAAGACAGAGAGAGAAGTGCTGTGTGGTTTCCATTATGTGTGCAAGCTAATAGCAAAACACGTGAGCAAGTATTACAAAACAAACAGACTCATGGATAGGACAAACAAGTGGTTGCCAGACGGAAGGACGGAAGGGGGTACGAAAAGGGGACAAAAAGGGTAACCACGTGAGGGAATGAATGCTAGGTAGCTGAGTCTCGTGATCACGTCACAATGTTTATTTATATGAAACCATCGGGGTGTCCACCTTAAATATATATAGTTTTTGCAATTAAAGCTCAGTAAAGCTGAAAAAAGATTCTGAGCCCGTGATTCACACAGACCTGGCTGAATCTTGGCTTCCGTTCTCACCAGTGGTGTGGCCTTGGGCCAGCCACCATCGCAAGACCCAGTTTCCTAGGCTGAAAAGCAGGGGC